TAAGTGTTTCATTATATAAATATAAATAATTATATTTAGTCCATAAAAAAACTCGTAGATTAAGTGAGCTTAACCTGTTTAAATCCATAATAATAATTTTTTTTTTAATTTTTCAATCTAGTCTAATCCAAATATGTGGTAAGTCAAATTAACGCAGAGATTTTGAATCGTTTTGACATATTTATTCATGGATTTAAGCTTCTTTTAATAAGCCTAAATTTAAGAAAATAAAATTGGTAAATTTTAAAGACAAACTGAAATAATACAAAATTAAGAATGTTAAAAAGAAAAGCACTTTAAAATACAAAAGCAAACTAAAAAATGTATAGAATTATCATTACGTGTAAAACAAAACAATGGAAACGATTAAAAACATAAAATTGTAAGAAATGAATCAATGCTAATCAAAGTAATGAAACTCATTTGAACATGCAACAAAAACTCAATTAAAAACAAATGTATGTCTCAAAATAATTATAAAACATATACACAAGGATTTTTTTTTTTTAATTTTCTTATTATACTTGAGATTAATGAAAGCTAAATAAGCATCCACCCACTCTTAAGTAGTTTGCTTAGTTTGTACTTTTAATTTCTCAAGACTTCAACTCATTTAAAGAAATTCTAAAAACATAGATATTAATACATAGTTCTTAATTTGTAATCTCAAAATTCAATCTTAAACAATCGAAGGTTTTTTAACAGTTTACCTTATAACACTATACCTCACAAATAGAATTAAAAGATTAAGAACTCAGAGGAACTAATCAACATACGATTCAAATCAAAGTTAGAATATAAAAGAAAGACATAAATAAAAAGAACTTAGGATAGAAACTCAAATTATGATCTAGAAAGTTTAAATTTAAACAAGTTATTCACCTTTACTTCGCGGAAATTAATTTTCAATCCAAACAATTTCAGTTGGATGCTTGATTTAATCAAATTGACACAGCTGCTTAATTTCTTCACATCAAATTCAATCACTGCAACTACTTAACCTGTTTGAATAAAGTTATCAATTCAATGAATCAACCATTGAGAGAAAATTAGTGTCACTTAAAACCAATTCAGTTGAGTCAAGTTGCTTAAGAATTTTGGGCCACCAATTACAATTATGCACCACTAGATTACAATGATTCAGTTCTTCTAATAAAAATTGTCACATCATCTTGACAAAAATATAAATTTGGATTAGAAAGAACAGATTGATACCAATAGTTTACACTAAATGACTAAAAAAATTAAAAAAGAGATAAAAACAAGACGAAAAAAATGACACAATTAAGACTAACACGTTCAAGATGTCACGATCTGAATTGAGAAGTCAAGGAAACTTCATCGCTTTGTGTTGAAAATTCAAAAATAAGAATTCAAAACTTCTAATGAACTTAAAGGCAATCTCTAATGTCTAAGGCTCATCTAATAAGCCATTTATAAAAAAAAAACTAATAAAAACTAATGTCTAAGGAGTCTGTGATTACAAAAATGTATAGAAAACAAAAATATAAGACTCAATAAAGGCCTAATACAAGAAATTAAAAAAAAAGAAATCTAAATTACAAGAAAAGAAATTAAGAAGCCTAAAAGTTCTAAATTTATTTGTGACCCCTTCATGAACTCATTATGGATATGATCTACAATCAAACCCTAAATTACTTGATCCACCTTCTTTTGATAATTGTGCATCCCATTAGAATATCATGTCCTTTTGGTTGGGCAATATGACATTTCAGGAATTTACTAATAGTATCATAGTACAAATATTGTTGGATTGCGGTAACTTTGACAAGTTCATTCAGCTACGCCTTGCTCATCATCTATTTCTTTTGGCCCTTATATTTCTTACCACAATGTTTTTACAACATTGGGGAGAACTTTTCCAATTATGGGGGCCAAAATCATTTATTTGCAAAGCTTTCTAAATTTTTGTTGTGGTTCAAAGTGGTAATTACTTAGGTCATACAATTTCTGAAAAAGTTGTAGTTATGGATTAAAGCATGGTACAAGTAATTTTCTTCGGGGTTGGTCAAGGTTGTTCATGTATTGGCCCCATAATCAATTTTCTTAAGAATCAAATTTTAAGTTGGATTACAATGCCATTTTTGCATTTTCAAAATTTAAAGAATTACTCAAGCAACTGTCTTGATTCTTCCAAACTTTCCCAGGTCCTTTATTTTGGAAACCGATTCCCAGGGATAATTATTATTGCCATTTTAAGCCAAGATCATCATTCATTTTCCTTCTTTTCAAAGCAATTGACTCCATAGTGCAGAAATGTAGAACGCACATACTCGAGAATTTTATGTTATCACTGAAACTATAGCAAAATTTAGGCACCGTTTGTTGACATGAATGTGTTATCAGAACTGACCAAAAGAGTTTAAAATGTCTGACAAATCAAGTTATTCAAACACTAGAACAAGAAGCTTGGTTGCATAAATTTTTGGGGTATGATTTCACTATAGAATACAAACCTAACAAAGATAATCTTGTTGTCGATTTGTAATATCGTATGTTTTTCATGGCTTTCTCTCAACCAAATTTGACTATCATCCAAGAATTGAGAGCCACTCTTCGTTCTTATCCAACTTCATTTAAGCTAATGAGATTATGCATCCAAGGCACACACAATCCCAATTATTCAGTGCTTGACGAGTTGTTATATTGGTTATTCCCACAAAGATTGGTTCAGTAGACATTACATGAATATCATAACTCTCCTGTTGGAGGTCATTCAGGTATTGCACGCCCTAAGACTATAATTTTTGCCCAATTCTTTTGGCATGGCATGCACAATGATATTAAAAACTTTGATCAACAATGTGACTTGTCAACAAAAGCTTCAGCTTCTCTACATATGGGGTTGCTTCAACCACTTCCAAATATGTAACAAATTTAGGGAAGATTCGGTTATGGATTTCATAGTTTTATTGCCTCTTTCATTCTTATTGACAAATTGACCAAATATGAATATTTTGCTCCTTTTAAAACTAATTATTCCGCTCAGCAAGTGGTTGAGACATCCATTAAGATTGTTCTCCTGGGCTACGTACTGGTATAATACTACAATTTGTTGCAGGTTATCATCATGACCTACCTGCTTTATCAAAGTATACACTAGACTATAGACCCTACCTTACTGCAGGAATTGTCACAACGTGACTTTGTCCTTAGCCAATTGAAGAACAATTTATTGGAAGCTCAAACATTAGAGTACGTTGATAAGAAAAGTGTGCCTTTACAGTTCAAAGTGGGAGATATGGCTTTTGTCAAATTGCAGCCATATACGACGAAGGAATCAGTGGCCCTTCGAAAAAATTAGAAGTTGAGTCTGCGATAATGGACCTTTTCCAAAAGAGCAAAAAAAGTAGGACCAATTGCATAGAAATACCATATTGAAGCTATTAAAGGTGTTCATGATCAAAAATACATTGCAATACCATACATGTCTATTGAGTTGGGTTCTATATAATCTAACCAAGTGAGATTATGCAATCTTGAACCATCATTAGAAACAGCAACATGTCCCTCAAGTATTAGTCCAATAAAAGGATTAGATGAAACCAACATTTCTTGTGGGAATTGTACTTCTTCCATGTGACTATCATACCTTCAAGATTGACGAATAGGACAAATGACAAAAGAAAACAAGAGGAATGCAAACCAAAAAAAAATAACTAACTCCACTGAAGGACTACATTTGGTGTAATAAATAAATATATGAGGATTGAAAAAAAAAATGATTGAAATGTGTGAATTATCCCGTTATCCCTGGTCCCTAGGGATTTCTTCTTCCTTCCAGTGGTTGTTGCTTTATTCTATAACAATTGTGACTCTTGAGCAACAACATTCTCCATTGTATAAACCATATAATAGTAATAGGATAGGAAAGCTTTCCTTCATTTCATTTTATCACATTCTTGTATTCTTTAAATATTTTGTACCTTTCCTATATGAACCATCACGCATAAATAAAAAACACACCCTCCATATCGTACAACATATATGTTGATGACGAGGGTAAGATGATGGGTTTATATACACACCCAAACCACCAATCCAAAGTGGAAGTGTTATATGGACAACTCCCAACATGTTTTGCCAATAATCTAAATGCAAAACCTTTACATTAGAAAAAAAATCCATATGTAAATATCCTTCCCGATCAATAAGAACCTCTAATGGAGATATAAGATTGGTTTGATGGTAAAATTAAAAGGAAAGGTGAGAGAAATTGAGTTGAACTTTCCCCACTAACACTTGAAAATCACTTGAAAAATATAAAATTGGTGTGATGGATTTGGAAAAGGAGGGAGAGAGAGATTGTGGATTCAATTTCTCCCATTAACAAATACTAACTCACATTGCCAATAAAATTTGAAAAAAAAAACTCTAATATTGGTTCATCAAGAATATATTGTTAAGAGCAGTTTGAAGAAACTATTTCCTGGAATAATTTTATGATCTCAACGTCACAACACTAGACAATTGTTGAAGCTCTAAATAAACATTATAAAAAGACAATTTGACATTTATATTGAACATTAACATCATAGGCAAAGTGGTTATAACTTCATCCATCCAAATACATTTTGTACTTATATCATCTTGGAAAAGAATGAGGAGACATCAGAAACATAGACTATGTCAAATTCGGTATCATCCGTGATTCATTTGTCAATTTTTCAGATCCTTGATTTGATTGTCTGGTATCTGAAACTTGAAGTTAAAGAAATAGCTTGCCTCCATAACAAAGAACCATCATCAGAAGTTTCCAAGGATTTCGCACTATCAGTCAGTAAAATTATGTTAGGAATCAAGGAGCAATGTCAAAAAATACAAATTGGCAGAAGACTAACTTCAGAACAATATGTTAATATCAGCTGAAGAAATGCAATTTCAAACTTGCAACACTATTTATTAAAGACCCTTCAATGCTAAACAAGTTAATAGTTTAGTACCTGTTATATTCATTCCATCAACAAATATCAGAGTTTTCATTCAGCGGGTGGTAGAGGCTCAACAAAGTTGATATCCTTTGCCTCTGCCATTTCAACTTCATACGAGTTGTTAACTGAAGATTTCTCATCTTCCATTGCCATCCGCTTCAATTTCTCATGTTTTATGTGACGAAGCTCATATCTGATTAACAGCAATGAAGGGAATCATATTTAATCAAAAAGCATGAATTGGACATTTTACCCCCTCTTTTTGTTAATTTGGTATCCATGAATACGTGATAGGCATTGTGAATGTGTGCATGCACAAAATATGGGGTAGAGTGGAACAAAGATAGCAAAATTCTCAATGCAGCTACTATCTACAAAATAAGTAGTCAAAACTTCAGAGTAATTCAGTTTTACTCATTTGCAAATAATCATAGAAGAATTTGCAAGAATTTGTATGACTTACTCGAGAACATGGCTTCTGGTAAGCTTAAAGTAAATTTTCCAGAATTGATTTTCCTTCAAATGGCGTGGACACAGTGCATATCTCAATTGAGATATTTCCTGGAATATAACAAAAATCATAATTATTTATGGGTACTAATTGAATGGCTTTGTTTATCCTTCCCTCATCCAACTATAAGATTATATATATTAATATTGTTTTGAATAAAGTCAAATCAAAAGTTAGTAATATAAGCCATCAACACTGCCACCACAGATTGTCAAAAAACAACAAAATCTTACTTTTAGTTCTTCATATTTTGACATTTTTTTTTCATTTTGGTACAATAAGTTTTAAAAGAGTCAATTAAATATTATTTTAGTTTTTTTAACAAAAATGTTAAATAGATTAACAAAGTTTACAAACGTATCTATTAACCTATTTAACGTTTTAATTAAACATGACCAAAATGAAACTTTTTTAAATCAGAAATTATCTAAATGAACCTTTTTAAAAACATAAAGTACCAAATGGAGACTTTTAAAACTCTGATAAAGGACACCTTAGCTAACTCTAATAACATATTTAACTTTATAGGTAATGAGAATAAAAATGAACCTTTTCGAAAGCATTAAGTACCAAATCGGGAGTTTTAAAACTCAGCGTAAGAATACCAACATGAAAGACTAAAAGTAACATTTAGCCTTAAAAACCTACTTTAGCCCGTTTACATAGAAAGGGTTGCTTTGACAAATCTGGCTGACTACACCATGAAAGGGCTCAGACAAACCAGAGACCAGATATGATACCAAACAATGACTACTAACAGGAGCACCAACATTCGTCAACTAATCAGAGAGTTGTTTGAGACATTGACAATATGCAAAAAATTCGAAAAGTCATCAATGAGAGTGGAAGAGAAACCTGCTCTAAAGCAACATGGGAATTATGGTTGACCTAAATCCTAAACAATTCCAATTAGCCATAGTCGTGGAGCCTTTCTCCATGACATTAGCGGTGAGATCAAAAGAGATGATAGAATAGATCCACTGATGTACAGTAGAATTAAGTGTTGTCGACTGCTCATGACCAACATCAATTGGAGCCAGACGTTCCTTCCCAAGTCGAGGGATAATATGATGAAGAACTCTGATAACCCGAGCATGAGTTTCAAAAAGTTAAACTCACATCATAATGGTCCTTCTCCATGTCCAACACAAAAGGGATGCTTCTTTTGATATTATTGATGTGAAATTTAGGTTTACCCGAGTAGGACTTTGGCATAGGAACCACAATGACTGGTGAGGAGCCAGGATCGAAGTTGGTTGAATACATGGGGTCAACAGTGGGGCACAAGTGAACGACAAAGAAAAGAGGTAGTGGTTGGGCTGTCAGGTGACAGTGTAGGGTTGTTGGGCCAGGGGATGACGTGTGGATAGGAGAATGAAGGGAGGGGTGGATCGTAGCTGCTAGAAGAGGAAGGGTAGCCTGCGAGTGGTTGAAGAAAGAGAGTGAAGGTGCAGAAGCAGGTTGTTGGTGGAGATGAAAGGAGCAATGACAATTGGAAGCAAGGAGAGCCCTGGAGCGTGCGGCGGTGTCTAAAAGAGAAGAGGTGCATGACTATCAAACACAAGGAGGTGAAGTCTGGATCATAGAGACTTGTGATATATAGGAAAACAATTGGCTTAATTACAGGAGAATAATTTCTATTCTATCATATATGTATGTATGTATTTATGTATATACACATTTATGTGATATGTATATGCGTATATGTATATGTATATATGTATGTATATACCTATGAGAAAACATCTTGTGAGAAGTTTATCCATAGCATATAATGTGTGACAATAAATTGAAGTCTTTGTTGGTGCCTAGCACTAATAGCTATCGACAAATAAAAAAGAAAAATTAATGACTTTGGAACATCAATATACATACAGTAACCTAATCAAAGATGACAATATGTTTAGGGACTCTGAAATTTCCATATAAATTCCTTTTGATATACCCACAAGAACTCTGGTAACTGTGACTCGATTGTAATGTATCAAGCATAGAAATAGACAATACTCTTTTCATTTAATTTCTTAAATAAAATATTCTCTAAACAGGAAAGTATATAAAAATTTAGCTTTCAAATATTTGTGCAGTCACGTGTACGTATAAGAATGAGGGATGGTTAGTACAATTAGGATATTAAATAGTTAAATAGGGGGTTAATGTGTTAACCCAGAGGTAAGTGCCCGTGAAAATAAAATTGAAAAAAGTTACAGAAATCATGCAATTGCCTTGAGGAAAGGAAGATATCTATAAGGTATCATATGTAGCAAGTTGTATATACTAATCTTCTATCTGCCTATGTTGGTAGTGTGGTCTGTAATTTTATACATGACCCCAAGAAAGGAAACAATAGGCAGTTGATAGGATCCTCCAATATTTGAAGGCAAGTCTAGGGAAATCGATATTCAGTATAGCAAGAACATTGTCCTCCATCGAGATATATACAGATGCAGACTGTTTCAAGTCAGTCGTCGATAGGAAAGTCACTTCTGGATATTGTAACTAGATGTTCAATCTAGAGCACAAGAAAAATTTAGAGCTATGCAACGCAACATGTGTGGAGGATTATAAGATGAAGATTATTCTTGATGACCTCAAAGCAAAGTATGAGAGGCAGCAATGAGCCTTTGCGACAACAGTTCAACTATTAGAATTGTCCATAATCCAACTCAACAGGACAAGACAGGAGAAAACAAAGAGAGATTGACGAACTTTATTCAAGAAAAGTTAGACAGTGGTGGTCTTTTAGCTACTACAAATGTTCTTACGAGGCTCCAACTAGTAAAAGTCTTCACCAAGGTGCTTTCATAGCTTATTTCACTAACTTAAGACTCATGCACATCCTGTATAATGTTGCATTAATAATTTATCATGTTTACAGCTGCTAAATCTAAATTGGCTTAATTTTGCACACAATCGTCTTAATTGACTACAGCATTTACAACCAACAACCATAGGTGAAAGAAATTTATTCAATTTTCATTCTATTTTCCTCGGTTCTAGTTTAATTATTTACACTGGACCATTCATAATAGTGAACAAAAATTGCCAGGTAGCAGAAAAACAATCACTTAGTTCTGTCAGGAAAGTGTGATAGAGATAATCTGTTACGTACCTGAGTACCTAAACTAGCCAAATACAACCTTTCACACTCTCACACACGTGATAGAACAATAAACAAATGATAATAGATGAATGAATCTCTTTTATTGATAAGAATAACTGAATCAAATAGAAAACAAACAATAATTGGGAGCATAACCTCCGTCAACTATTGTGGAGCATAACTTCCTTTACAAAACTCACAAATCAAAAGCATACCCTTAACCCTAGACTCTAGCTTTATTTATACTAATTATTTCCCGCTCCATCTCTTACTAAATATTTCCCTAGAATATATCTGCATTTAATATAAATATCTCTATATTTAATATAAATATCCCCCCGTATATTATCCTAGCATATATCCTTAATTATAAATATCTTATATTGAATATTTTCCTAGGATATATATTTATTTACTCTAATTAACTTATATTGAATATTCTCTCCTATTTTGGCTCCTTTTACTGTAATTAGCTCTCGCCCCCCTAACCGTTGCACAGTTAAGATGGTGATTCTTCAACCGTTCGGCTCAGGTCCTTCTCTGCTTCCCACCGTTCGGCCTGGTCGCTTCATGCCTCCCGCCGTTCGGCCTGGTCGCTCCAAGCCTCCCACCGTTCGGCCTGGTCGCTTCCTACCTCCCACCGTTCGTCCTGGTCGCCCCCCGTTGTCACCGTTTGGCCTTACCTCTCCATGCTTCCATCGTTCAGCCATTATGGTCAATACTGTTCGGCCTCACTTCCCTCCTACCTTTCTTCTCCTTCTCATTACCTCCCAACCCTTATCATTATCTCCCACCTTATACCCTAACATAATCTAACTATAATTTATCAGCGTTAGCATTCATAAGATCGACTTGGTAATAACAAATAGTACCAAAATTAAAAAATTACAGGTGTAAAAGGAAATATGAATTCCTGAAGAGATAAAGGAGTACAAGGTTAAAAAGACATTTCCCGTCCCCCTTCACACCAGATAAAGTGCAACCCCCTTGAAGAGATGAGCAACAACAAATATAGGAGATTACAAGACAGAGGATTTATTGGTGAATAAGTTAGTTTCTTCATTCAGATATGCAGCTAGGTGCTTCCCTATCATATCCTGTTAATGTTTTGGTTGAATATTGAACTAAAGTCTTTGGTCTTAGAAATTAGAAATTGGAAATTTACTTGGTGCATTCTCCGGTCAACATAGATCTACAAGGAAAAGTATCACTTCTTGTTTGCTTGTTATTTGTTGCTGGTTAAAATATTTTCAATGATAGAAGAAACATAGTGATAGGGGCTAGAAAGTATAGAACCGAACAGTTAAGGGTGACGGGGAAGGAGTCGAACGGCTAGTATATGAGAGAGGAAAGAACCGAGTGGTTAAGGGTGATGGGGAAGGAGCCGAACGGCTAGTATATGAGGGAGGACAGAACCGAACGATTAAGGGTGATGGGGAAGGAGCCGAACGGCTACAGGCAGTAGGGGCCAAGCGGCCACATGCAGTGGGAGCATGAGGCGAATGTCGAACGGTTAAGGGGTGGGGGCCGTTCGGTTTAATGGGAGCGTTGAACAATGGAAAGCACAACTGTAATAACGGTTTGTGGGAGGAACCTATTATAAATAGAATAATTGTCAGTCTTTTAGGTTAGGTTATATTTTACTCGTACAGTCAGGGCATTGGCCTGAGGAGGGGGATTAGGCTCCCATAGTTACCCATACTTACGTCCACACTTACATCCATACTTGTACATTGACTTTTGATATTGTTAATGTGCAAATAAATCAATATGTTTCATTCATTCTTCTGCTTTGTGTTCTTGTTGTGATTTGCGAGAGAAGGGAATTAGGTTTTCGATTACAGAAACCTAACACATAGAGACACAAAAGGAATAAATGATAGGAACATTAAAAAACAAAACACACGCCATATAATTTATGAGTACAAGATTGCTTCATTCTTCCAAATCTTCATTCTTGTTATATTTACAGTCATGTATTCTTAAGAAAAAATCATTATAGGCATGACAAATTCTTAAGATTTTCTCAAGTTCCATGCTTCTTATGTCCTCCATTATCTAATACATCATGAACTTTTTCAGATGCCAAAGTCATGAGACGTTTTTCCCTTGATAGTTGTTACCCAAATAAAATTACTTAGCACCACAATGTTAGTTGTCCACACATTGGAAAGCATGAGAAAAAAGAACAAACTGTTAAGCTTAAAGACAAAGAGAAGCATTAAGCTGAAAACGTCTCTTTCTGTGACAACATGACTGGTTTATTTACATTGAGAAAACTAAATCAATAAAATTAATAAAGAACATGTGACATCCTCTAATAATAAGAATATGACCTTAGAATAATATAGATACAATCTTGATATTTCTTATTATAAAGATATGATCTTGATATTTGTAACTATAAAGATATGACTCTTATTTTTGTAATCATAATACTCACCCTCAAGTTGGTGCGTGTAAGTCATGTGCTCAGCTTATTGCAAATGTGATGGATCCTTGGCCCTCTCAGAGAGATTTGGTGAATATGTCGATCAGTTGTTCATTAGAATTGACTAATCTAGTAATGATATCTCTAGAGTCCAGTTTTTCCATTATGAAACGACAACCCACATCAACATGTTTGGTTCATTCATGAAAGATAGGATTAGAAGCAATGTGTAATGCTACCTCGTTGTCAAATACAAGATGCATTTGAGAATCTTCAAATTTAAACTCTTTGATAGGTTCCTTTAGCCATGAGCTCACAAATGGCTAAAGTCATTGCCATATATTTTGCACTTGATCATGCCACAACATTTTTTTTTCTTGTTTTTCATAGATATTAAATTATCCCCCAAACAAGAAGTACCCTGAAGTTGAACATTTATCACTAGTTGAGTCACCTAGTCAAAATCAAAATACCCAATAATTTGAGTATTCCCCTTATCTTTATAATTAAAGCCTTTGCCAAGAGATTTCTTAATATATCTTAGTATTTGTACAACCACATTTCAATGGTCTCTTGACAAGGACTACTCAAAACTTGACTTACTATGCTTATTGCAAAGGGAATGTTAGGGCAAGTCACAGTGAAATAATTTAGCTTGACAGTCCAAAACTGGTAAGCTTGGAGAGAATTGAAGTTCAATAGTGAATGATCAGCTTCACTTTGTATTATTCCGAGTTGTTGAATGACAAACAAAATATTACCAAATAATCCACAAGGTGATTGCTTAAGGCCCATAAAAGAACCTACAAATATGACAGACCTTATTAGACAACTCCCCCTAAGCAACAAATTCAAGAGGTCGTTTCATATAGACCTTCTTTCAAGATCTCCATGGAGAAATGCATCCTCAATATCAAGTTGAAACACGACTGGGAGCCTTTTTGGAGGTCGTAGGCTTAAGCCGTTCATTGTTCTTTTGGGGGGACATCACTACCTCAGCTACGAGTCTCCACCTTTCGCTATATAAGTGATTTGCTGAATGGGCTTGCTCGGAGTCCTTACAAACACATCCATGAATATTTCCTTATCTAGCCATGCAGTCCTTTAAAGGCTCACCACTTTGCTACTTGATGTCAAACAAATCTCCTATTTTGAGAGGTTTTACTTTATTCACATCAAACTGATTAAAGAACAAACTAGACAATTCCACGAGTAAGGATACATTCCTGCCGGGCAAAGTGCTAAACCAATCCAACATGGCATCAGACAAGACCTCTACAAACATTTTGCATCACACCATGTCTGATTCTTTTAATATCAACATTTGTGCCCGAAAGGCCTTAAGTTGATTGGCAGGATCCACGACTTCTATAATATTTTAAAGCCAACATGGGAAAATAGTCTATTTGTACAAAGACTATGGTCTCATAAATGATGGTTCCAAGCTAGGGAAAAACGAGGATTTTTCCAGAAACTCGACCTTCAATGTAACTAGTTGAAATCCTTAACATGGACCACTCACCACCACAGACATCATCTAGTGGAATACAACTTTTGTTGTCATTGTCTATTCCTAATATAGTTTCCCTTCGTGAAAAGAAGAAACATGATCAGACAGAGCTTTGCTCCTTTAAGTGGGGCCACTTGATTACACTTCGAATAGGCCACTCAATCATCAGAAAAAGAAAAAAAGACTACTAATCAACGGCATGGATACTAGGCAATGTCATGCAAGCAAACAAATACAAAATACATGATTTTATAGATTAGATTAAGGAGTGTCATCAACCTTGCAATATTTGGGATACCAATGAAGGAAAAATCCTCTATTTCTACAAACGAGCACAAGTAGTTTTACTGTTTAATACTTCAAGTGTTCAACATCACAAATAAACAAGAATAGTTAAAGACAAACCTTGACTCTTGATAGAACGAGGATTGCATGTCTCTCTTGCCAATCGGAGAGATCCTTTCGAATTTTGCTTGAAGAAGATTCAGTTTCTTCCCAATAACTGCCTTCATCTTCATCTGCAACCAAAAAACAAAATTGAACAAAAGAAGACTTTTTTTTTTCAAATATAAAACAATAGATAACTCAAAAATAACACTACAACAACATTGGGTTTCCCTGAGAATTATACGAAGCTACAGCTGCCAATNTACAGCATTTACAACCAACAACCATAGGTGAAAGAAATTTATTCAATTTTCATTCTATTTTCCTCGGTTCTAGTTTAATTATTTACACTGGACCATTCATAATAGTGAACAAAAATTGCCAGGTAGCAGAAAAACAATCACTTAGTTCTGTCAGGAAAGTGTGATAGAGATAATCTGTTACGTACCTGAGTACCTAAACTAGCCAAATACAACCTTTCACACTCTCACACACGTGATAGAACAATAAACAAATGATAATAGATGAATGAATCTCTTTTATTGATAAGAATAACTGAATCAAATAGAAAACAAACAATAATTGGGAGCATAACCTCCGTCAACTATTGTGGAGCATAACTTCCTTTACAAAACTCACAAATCAAAAGCATACCCTTAACCCTAGACTCTAGCTTTATTTATACTAATTATTTCCCGCACCATCTCTTACTAAATATTTCCCTAGAATATATCTGCATTTAATATAAATATCTCTATATTTAATATAAATATCCCCCCGTATATTATCCTAGCATATATCCTTAATTATAAATATCTTATATTGAATATTTTCCTAGGATATATATTTATTTACTCTAATTAACTTATATTGAATATTCTCTCCTATTTTGGCTCCTTTTACTGTAATTAGCTCTCGCCCCCCTAACCGTTGCACAGTTAAGATGGTGATTCTTCAACCGTTCGGCTCAGGTCCTTCTCTGCTTCCCACCGTTCGGCCTGGTCGCTTCATGCCTCCCGCCGTTCGGCCTGGTCGCTCCAAGCCTCCCACCGTTCGGCCTGGTCGCTTCCTACCTCCCACCGTTCGTCCTGGTCGCCCCCCGTTGTCACCGTTTGGCCTTACCTCTCCATGCTTCCATCGTTCAGCCATTATGGTCAATACTGTTCGGCCTCACTTCCCTCCTACCTTTCTTCTCCTTCTCATTACCTCCCAACCCTTATCATTATCTCCCACCTTATACCCTAACATAATCTAACTATAATTTATCAGCGTTAGCATTCATAAGATCGACTTGGTAATAACAAATAGTACCAAAATTAAAAAATTACAGGTGTAAAAGGAAATATGAATTCCTGAAGAGATAAAGGAGTACAAGGTTAAAAAGACATTTCCCGTCCCCCTTCACACCAGATAAAGTGCAACCCCCTTGAAGAGATGAGCAACAACAAATATAGGAGATTACAAGACAGAGGATTTATTGGTGAATAAGTTAGTTTCTTCATTCAGATATGCAGCTAGGTGCTTCCCTATCATATCCTGTTAATGTTTTGGTTGAATATTGAACTAAAGTCTTTGGTCTTAGAAATTAGAAATTGGAAATTTACTTGGTGCATTCTCCGGTCAACATAGATCTACAAGGAAAAGTATCACTTCTTGTTTGCTTGTTATTTGTTGCTGGTTAAAATATTTTCAATGATAGAAGAAACATAGTGATANTTACCCGAGTAGGACTTTGGCATAGGAACCACAATGACTGGTGAGGAGCCAGGATCGAAGTTGGTTGAATACATGGGGTCAACAGTGGGGCACAAGTGAACGACAAAGAAAAGAGGTAGTGGTTGGGCTGTCAGGTGACAGTGTAGGGTTGTTGGGCCAGGGGATGACGTGTGGATAGGAGAATGAAGGGAGGGGTGGATCGTAGCTGCTAGAAGAGGAAGGGTAGCCTGCGAGTGGTTGAAGAAAGAGAGTGAAGGTGCAGAAGCAGGTTGTTGGTGGAGATGAAAGGAGCAATGACAATTGGAAGCAAGGAGAGCCCTGGAGCGTGCGGCGGTGTCTAAAAGAGAAGAGGTGCATGACTATCAAACACAAGGAGGTGAAGTCTGGATCATAGAGACTTGTGATATATAGGAAAACAATTGGCTTAATTACAGGAGAATAATTTCTATTCTATCATATATGTATGTATGTATTTATGTATATACACATTTATGTGATATGTATATGTGTATATGTGTATATGTATATGTATATATGTATGTATGTATATACCTATGAGAAAACATCTTGTGAGAAGTTTATCCATAGCATATAATGTGTGACAATAAATTGAAGTCTTTGTTGGTGCCTAGCACTAATAGCTATCGACAAATAATAAAAAAAATTAATGACTTTGGAACATCAATATACATACAGTAACCTAATCAAAGATGACAATATGTTTAGGGACTCTGAAATTTCCATATAAATTCCTATTGATATACCCACAAGAACTCTGGTAACTGTGACTCGATTGTAATGTATCAAGCATAGAAATAGACAATACTCTTTTCATTTAATTTCTTAAATAAAATATTCTCTAAACAGGAAAGTAAATAAAAATTTAGCATTCAAATATTTGTGCAGTCACGTGTACGTATAAGAATGAGGGATGGTTAGTACAATTAGGATATTAAATAGTTAAATAGGGGGTTAATGTGTTAACCCAGAGGTAAGTGCCCGTGAAAATAAAATTGAAAAAAGTTACAGAAATCATGCAATTGCCTTGAGGAAAGGAAGATATCTATAAGGTATCATATGTAGCAAGTTGTATATACTAATCTTCTATCTGCCTATGTTGGTAGTGTGGTCTGTAATTTTATACATGACCCCAAGAAAGGAAACAATAGGCAGTTGATAGGATCCTCCAATATTTGAAGGCAAGTCTAGGGAAATCGATATTCAGTATAGCAAGAACATTGTCCTCCATCGAGATATATACAGATGCAGACTGTTTCAAGTCAGTCGTCGATAGGAAAGTCACTTCTGGATATTGTAACTAGATGTTCAATCTAGAGCACAAGAAAAATTTAGAGCTATGCAACGCAACATGTGTGGAGGATTATAAGATGAAGATTATTCTTGATGACCTCAAAGCAAAGTATGAGAGGCAGCAATGAGCCTTTGCGACAACAGTTCAACTATTAGAATTGTCCATAATCCAACTCAACAGGACAAGACAGGAGAAAACAAAGAGAGATTGACGAACTTTATTCAAGAAAAGTTAGACAGTGGTGGTCTTTTAGCTACTACAAATGTTCTTACGAGGCTCCAACTAGTAAAAGTCTTCACCAAGGTGCTTTCATAGCTTATTTCACTAACTTAAGACTCATGCACATCCTGTATAATGTTGCATTAATAATTTATCATGTTTACAGCTGCTAAATCTAAATTGGCTTAATTTTGCACACAATCGTCTTAATTGACTACAGCATTTACAACCAACAACCATAGGTGAAAGAAATTTATTCAATTTTCATTCTATTTTCCTCGGTTCTAGTTTAATTATTTACACTGGACCATTCATAATAGTGAACAAAAATTGCCAGGTAGCAGAAAAACAATCACTTAGTTCTGTCAGGAAAGTGTGATAGAGATAATCTGTTACGTACCTGAGTACCTAAACTAGCCAAATACAACCTTTCACACTCTCACACACGTGATAGAACAATAAACAAATGATAATAGATGAATGAATCTCTTTTATTGATAAGAATAACTGAATCAAATAGAAAACAAACAATAATTGGGAGCATAACCTCCGTCAACTATTGTGGAGCATAACTTCCTTTACAAAACTCACAAATCAAAAGCATACCCTTAACCCTAGACTCTAGCTTTATTTATACTAATTATTTCCCGCTCCATCTCTTACTAAATATTTCCCTAGAATATATCTGCATTTAATATAAATATCTCTATATTTAATATAAATATCCCCCCGTATATTATCCTAGCATATATCCTTAATTATAAATATCTTATATTGAATATTTTCCTAGGATATATATTTATTTACTCTAATTAACTTATATTGAATATTCTCTCCTATTTTGGCTCCTTTTACTGTAATTAGCTCTCGCCCCCCTAACCGTTGCACAGTTAAGATGGTGATTCTTCAACCGTTCGGCTCAGGTCCTTCTCTGCTTCCCACCGTTCGGCCTGGTCGCTTCATGCCTCCCGCCGTTCGGCCTGGTCGCTCCAAGCCTCCCACCGTTCGGCCTGGTCGCTTCCTACCTCCCACCGTTCGTCCTGGTCGCCCCCCGTTGTCACCGTTTGGCCTTACCTCTCCATGCTTCCATCGTTCAGCCATTATGGTCAATACTGTTCGGCCTCACTTCCCTCCTACCTTTCTTCTCCTTCTCATTACCTCCCAACCCTTATCATTATCTCCCACCTTATACCCTAACATAATCTAACTATAATTTATCAGCGTTAGCATTCATAAGATCGACTTGGTAATAACAAATAGTACCAAAATTAAAAAATTACAGGTGTAAAAGGAAATATGAATTCCTGAAGAGATAAAGGAGTACAAGGTTAAAAAGACATTTCCCGTCCCCCTTCACACCAGATAAAGTGCAACCCCCTTGAAGAGATGAGCAACAACAAATATAGGAGATTACAAGACAGAGGATTTATTGGTGAATAAGTTAGTTTCTTCATTCAGATATGCAGCTAGGTGCTTCCCTATCATATCCTGTTAATGTTTTGGTTGAATATTGAACTAAAGTCTTTGGTCTTAGAAATTAGAAATTGGAAATTTACTTGGTGCATTCTCCGGTCAACATAGATCTACAAGGAAAAGTATCACTTCTTGTTTGCTTGTTATTTGTTGCTGGTTAAAATATTTTCAATGATAGAAGAAACATAGTGATAGGGGCTAGAAAGTATAGAACCGAACAGTTAAGGGTGACGGGGAAGGAGTCGAACGGCTAGTATATGAGAGAGGAAAGAACCGAGTGGTTAAGGGTGATGGGGAAGGAGCCGAACGGCTAGTATATGAGGGAGGACAGAACCGAACGATTAAGGGTGATGGGGAAGGAGCCGAACGGCTACAGGCAGTAGGGGCCAAGCGGCCACATGCAGTGGGAGCATGAGGCGAATGTCGAACGGTTAAGGGGTGGGGGCCGTTCGGTTTAATGGGAGCGTTGAACAATGGAAAGCACAACTGTAATAACGGTTTGTGGGAGGAACCTATTATAAATAGAATAATTGTCAGTCTTTTAGGTTAGGTTATATTTTACTCGTACAGTCAGGGCATTGGCCTGAGGAGGGGGATTAGGCTCCCATAGTTACCCATACTTACGTCCACACTTACATCCATACTTGTACATTGACTTTTGATATTGTTAATGTGCAAATAAATCAATATGTTTCATTCATTCTTCTGCTTTGTGTTCTTGTTGTGATTTGCGAGAGAAGGGAATTAGGTTTTCGATTACAGAAACCTAACACATAGAGACACAAAAGGAATAAATGATAGGAACATTAAAAAACAAAACACACGCCATATAATTTATGAGTACAAGATTGCTTCATTCTTCCAAATCTTCATTCTTGTTATATTTACAGTCATGTATTCTTAAGAAAAAATCATTATAGGCATGACAAATTCTTAAGATTTTCTCAAGTTCCATGCTTCTTATGTCCTCCATTATCTAATACATCATGAACTTTTTCAGATGCCAAAGTCATGAGACGTTTTTCCCTTGATAGTTGTTACCCAAATAAAATTACTTAGCACCACAATGTTAGTTGTCCACACATTGGAAAGCATGAGAAAAAAGAACAAACTGTTAAGCTTAAAGACAAAGAGAAGCATTAAGCTGAAAACGTCTCTTTCTGTGACAACATGACTGGTTTATTTACATTGAGAAAACTAAATCAATAAAATTAATAAAGAACATGTGACATCCTCTAATAATAAGAATATGACCTTAGAATAATATAGATACAATCTTGATATTTCTTATTATAAAGATATGATCTTGATATTTGTAACTATAAAGATATGACTCTTATTTTTGTAATCATAATACTCACCCTCAAGTTGGTGCGTGTAAGTCATGTGCTCAGCTTATTGCAAATGTGATGGATCCTTGGCCCTCTCAGAGAGATTTGGTGAATATGTCGATCAGTTGTTCATTAGAATTGACTAATCTAGTAATGATATCTCTAGAGTCCAGTTTTTCCATTATGAAACGACAACCCACATCAACATGTTTGGTTCATTCATGAAAGATAGGATTAGAAGCAATGTGTAATGCTACCTCGTTGTCAAATACAAGATGCATTTGAGAATCTTCAAATTTAAACTCTTTGATAGGTTCCTTTAGCCATGAGCTCACAAATGGCTAAAGTCATTGCCATATATTTTGCACTTGATCATGCCACAACATTTTTTTTTCTTGTTTTTCATAGATATTAAATTATCCCCCAAACAAGAAGTACCCTGAAGTTGAACATTTATCACTAGTTGAGTCACCTAGTCAAAATCAAAATACCCAATAATTTGAGTATTCCCCTTATCTTTATAATTAAAGCCTTTGCCAAGAGATTTCTTAATATATCTTAGTATTTGTACAACCACATTTCAATGGTCTCTTGACAAGGACTACTCAAAACTTGACTTACTATGCTTATTGCAAAGGGAATGTTAGGGCAAGTCACAGTGAAATAATTTAGCTTGACAGTCCAAAACTGGTAAGCTTGGAGAGAATTGAAGTTCAATAGTGAATGATCAGCTTCACTT